TTGATATTTGAACAATAAATTATGAAATAACTCACAAAGAACCAAAATACCCAAAGGAAAAAGTTCATAACTCACAAATGATCAAGGTATACACAGAAAAAGAATTATGAGAATGGAGCAACATTGGATAGTATCAATCAAAAGAAGTAGCAGTAAATTCAAATGTAGTGCATAGGAAATTACTTAGAGAACAGTAACAAAAAGAATGAGAACTAGAAAATAAAACCGAAAGCATTTATAGGAAACTTAAGAGTATATCAATATCCATACTATGTACAACATAGAAGGAATGAAATAGACAAAGCACATACATATTTATCTCCCTTTTAAATAAGTAAAGAGCTTCACAAATATGGAAAATTAAATTGATATTCAAGTACACTACAAAAACAATGGACACAGTAAAATTGTCAAACATCACAAATGAATGCTGGTGATATAATTCATTGAATAAACATGCTTGTTGCCAAGACTGATCATGTTATTTCAGTAGGCAAGTCCCTATATTGCAAGTAGTCTTCTGATATCTATACATGTAATGTTACATAGCCATTCCCACACACAGTAATAAATTAAAAAAAGAAAAGTCACAGCGGAGAGAATTTTGAAAACTTTATACAAAGAAATTCTAATAATTCTCTAAGTATACTTCTCAGTAGATATTTTGCAAGATGCAAAGGAAGATGCAGATATATTAATGGTAACAAGAGAATAAAACTTCCAATGAAACTGAAGTATGTATAAACTCTGTATTCAGAAATTGAAACAGCAGTATTATGTGCTTAATCAAGAGCTAAAGGAGTCTATCAACACTACCCTGTCATATGAGAAATTCTCAATCAGGGCTTTAAAGTTGTATAAAGACAGCACTACACACAATGGAAACTGTGAAATAGAAAACTAACTGGTGAAGTTTTATATGGGTAATAGATATAGATGATCATACATTGTAGGTATAGATATGTAAACAATATTATAATGGTGGGATATATAGCAATTTCATTGCTGTAACAAAATCATGAAATGGATGTATAAAATGTATGTAAGAATATGCTGATAGGTATTCAATTTAAATTATGTGATTTTTAGCAATAATATCAAAAATTGAGTAAAAAAATTCAAAGTGTAGTTTTTATATGCAATTATGGCTCAGTTATTATTACCTTAAATTATGTTAGAGTAAATATTTTGAATACAAACTCTATGGTTAATAAAAAGAAAACACATTCAAATGAAAATGAAAATGGGACAAGAATGGCATTGGACACCTTCCTATAATCCCAGACAGGTGGTACCTGTGAGTTGGCAACTGGCCTGGTCTATATAGCAAATTACAGGCTAACTAGGGCTACATGATTAGACCTAATTTCAAAAGAAGAGGAAATTGAGAAAGAAATTGTTGAGGCTAGACTGTTATTTAGTGTCACTAAAGAGTTCAAGTTATAGAAGCTTGGCCCTGAGTGAGGAAATCAGTAATAGGTTGCTTAACCTTTCTTATATTAGGCCTAGTGAAGTGTCTTTGGGCATTAGTGATGTTTTCTTTGGAAAAGATTAATGTACTTGCTATTGAATCTCTATTAGCTCTTGCAAGAACTGTTGATATAAAATAAGACTACTCTCACAGACACTGAGATCAACAATAAATGGGACCTCCTGAAACTGAGAAACTTCTGTAAGACAAAGGACACAGTCAACAAAACAAAACAGCAGTCTACAGAATGGGAAAAAAATATCTTCACCAACCCTATATTTGACAGAGGACTGATCTCCAAAATATATAAAGAATTCAAGAAACTGGACATCAAAATACAAAATAATCCAATTTTAAATGGGGAACAGATCTAAATAGAGAATTAACAACAGAGGAAAATCAAATAGCTGAAAGACATTTAAGGAATTGGGAATTGTCCAACATCCTTAGTCATCAGGGAAATGAAAATCAGAACAACTCTTAGACATCACCTTACAACTGTAAGAATGACAAAATTCAAAAACACTGGTGACAGCTCATGCTGGAAAGGATGTGGAAAAGGGGGAACACTTGTCCATTACTGGTGGGAGTGCAAATTTGTATAGCCACTTTGGAAAAAGTATGGTGGTTTCTCAGAAAACTGGGAATCATTCTACCTCAAGACCTAGTGATACCACTCTTAGGAATATACCCAAAGGATGCACAATCATTTGTTCAGCTATGTTCATAGCAGCATTATTTGTAATAGCCAGAACCTGGCAGTAACCTAAACGTCCATCAACCAAAGAATGATTGAATAAAATGTGGTACATTTATGTGCTACTCATTGGAAACAAAAATGAAATCTTGCAATTCGCAGGCAAATGGATGGAACTAGAAGACACCATGCTGAGTGAGGTAACCAAGACACAGAAAGGAAAACATGGTATATACTCACTCATATGTGGATATTAGAAAGAAAATAAACGATAACTAGCCTACAGTCCACAACCCCAGAGAATCCCAGAAACAAAGATGACATCAAGATGGACATACATGTACTCCTGTGAAGAGGAAGGGCACAAGATCTGAGTAAATTGGGAGTACTGGGGGGTGGGCGGGGAGGTAGGAGAAAGAAGAGAGGAAAAGGGGAGGGGAAGGAGAACATGCGGGATCAGGAAGGTCAAGTTGTGGGAAGAACAGAAAAGTAGAGCAAGAAAAGAAATACCATAATAGAGGAAGCCATTATGAGCTTTATGAGAAATCTGGCACTGGGGAAATGTTCAGAGATCCACAAGGATGAGTCCAACTAATAATTTAAGCAATAGTGGAGAGGCTACTTTAAATGTCCTTTCCCTATAATGAGATTGATGACTACCTTAAATGTCATCATAGAGCCTTCATTCAGTAGCTGACAGAAGTAGAAGCAGGGGTTCACAGCTAAGCACTGAGCCAAATTTATGGAATCCAGTTGCAGAAAGGGAGGAGTAATGAGCTGTGGGGAGAACCCCACAGAACCAGCTGAGTCCAGACTGGGAACATGTATAAGATATATCTAGTCCCCTGGATGTGGGTGACAGTTGGGGAGCTAGGGCAGTTTATGGGGCTACTGGCAGCAGAACCAGTATTTGTCCCCAGTGCATAAACCGGCTTTTTGGAGCCCATTTCTTGTGGAAGGTTACCTTTTTCAGTCTAGATACAGTGTGGAGGGCCTTGGTCCTGTCACAAGTGATGTTTCAGACTTTGATGGTTTCTCAGGGGAAGCCTCACCTTACCTGAGGAGGAGATATGGGTGTGGAAGGGACAAGGTGGGGTAAGTGGGGGGAAGGGAAATAGAGAAAACTGGAATTAGAATATAGAATAAGGTTGTTCTAAAAATAACACAGAGCGAAAAATAAATAAATAAGGCTACTCTCCATGATTACCCCCTTCTGCATAGCCAGAACCTTTCTATTTGTATACACTGTCACGATGTAGCCAAAAAAGTTTTTCTATCAAATAGTCTTAGACTTCCAGTCTCTGAAAATAGAAACCATGTTTTTAAAAAGATAGTTTTTTTTTTATTAGAAAGTACCCAGCTTCAGGTATTTTGTCACAGAAACAGAAAATGAGCTAACATTGAAATCAAATAATTTCAGTATATTTTTTAAATTATGGATGTAGATACCCAAAAAGGTGAAGGAAAAGATGGTAGATAGATAGATAAATGATAGCTATATAGATAGATACATATACCGATAAATACATAACAATAGAAAATCCTGAAATCAACCAAACACTTTAAATATAGACACATGATCAAATTCAAAGGATTTTGGTGCATAAACAAATTATAAAACTATAAATAGAAAAATATAAGCTATGTCTAGGATTCTCTTTAGGTTTAAAGATGTATGTGGAGTAGAAATGAACAAAAAATAATCTATGTGTATAGTAATACCATATACACTTACTAAATATATTTACATAAAATGAAAAACACATAGAACAATAACAATCAAAGGTGAGAGGTAGTCATATTCAGAATATACAAAATAGAATTTAAGTAATAGTCATTTCAAGAGACCAAGAAAGACATATGATTATGAAAGAACCAGATCACCAGAAGTATAACAGTCATAAAATCATATACAAACACTCCCACAAACACACAGAGGTATGGGTTCATCAGAGCATCTTAATAATACATGAAAAAAATGTTGATGACTGAAATGTAAATAGTGGTAAGTAACAAGATGTTTTAATACCTGACTTTCAATAATAGGTGGAGTTTCAAGACAGGATCAATAAGGAGAATTAATAAAAACAGTATAAAACCATAGGTCTAGATACTCAAGAAGCTAAAATGAGAGGATCACTTAAGCCCAGAATTCAAGATAATCGTGGGCAATAAAACAAGGCTCCACCTCAGAGACAATGATCAATAATGAAATATAGGGCCACAGCATACTATAGACCAAATGAACATAATAAATGTAGAACTATACTGAAAGCAGCAGTATATATATTGGCATGTCTATGTGATATTTTTTGATTGTCAAGTAATATTATTAGTACCAGCTAAATGTGAGTGATACCAGCTCTGAGCAGGTGGACTCCAGCTATATTAGAAAGGAAGTTGATTAAGTCAGGGAGAGTAAGCTAAAAGTTGTGTTCCTCCATGATCTCTGCTTCATTTTCTGGCTCTTGTTCTCTTGATGATGGACTGTAACTTGTAAGCTAAAATAAATGCTATTCTCCCCAAGTGTCTTTGGTCATGGTATTTTATCACAACAATAAAAATAAAATTACACACAAGTTTGTATAAGGGATACAGTAATGCTATGACATACCTGACCACGTTGCTTGGGGAAGTATTATTAAAGATTTTGTTCTTTTAACTTAAAAAGCTGATGAATACCAGGATTACTGAGCTGAGAACATAAGGATATTGGGATGATAACACATGATGTGTGCATTGCTTGTGAGGGAAGGTTAAAAGACTGTCAAAAACTTAATCAGGGGGAGTTGTCTGGAGGCCAGCGGTGCGGGGCTGAGGGGTTGAGGGCCCTTGGGCAGACCGGTCATGTCGCACAAACAGATTTACTATTCGGACAAATATGAAGACGAGGAGTTCGAGTACCGGCATGTCATGTTGCCCAAGGACATAGCCAAGCTGGTGCCTAAAACCCATTTGATGTCTGAATCTAAATGGAGAAATCTTGGCGTTCAGCAGAGTCAGGGATGGGTCCATTATATGATCCATGAACTAGAACCTCACATCTTACTATTCCGGCGGCCACTACCCAAGAAGCCAAAGAAATGAAGCTGTTGAACCACCTTTCAGCCTCAAGCTTTACTCAGCCGTCCTTCCTTCCTACCATCTTTCAGATAGCATGATTATGTTGCTCTCTTATTTCTCATTTTGATATTTAAAGGATGTTCATTCAATATACTGTTTGAATGTGCTAATACCTGCTTTGCTTCTTGAGCTGAGCCACCAATGCCACAACCTGTCAGATGAGTGTGACCTCAAAGACCTAGTGTGCTCTGTATCCAGCAGGCCATACTTTCCATCACTCTGAAGCATGTGAAAATCAGATCATGGCTGTTACAGGGGTGGTGTGAATTTGCCGTTGTGGATTTTACTATTGGGTATTGTATTTATGGTGACTTATGGATTTATGTTTCAATGTATTGGAAACTTTCCATTTTATCTGATTGTTACAAGCCTTGATTAAAGGAAGTTTTTATAATATAAAGCTGTGGTTATAAGGTTGTCCTATCCCTATGTCATTGTGTGCCCCCCACCCTCCATTGCCTCTGAGCCACTCGCCGTCCTACAACCAAGGTGACATTCTGGAACCGTCCTTTCCAGTAGATGGTGAAAACTTGGCTCTTTGCAGCAATGAGGTTCAGTTGGATATTGCAGTAACTAATTTATAATCTGTTTTAATTGGACTTACTGTAAAAACCTTTGTTGAGGGGCTGGAGAGATGGCTCAGCAATTAAGAGCACTGGCTGCTCTTCCAAAGGACCCAGGTTCAATTCCCAGCACCCACATAGTGGCTCACAGCTGTCTATAACCCCAGTTCCAAGGGACCTGACACCCTTACACAGACATACTTGCAGGCATGTACCCCCCCCCAATGTACATTAAATGTTTTTTTTAAACTTAATCAGAGCAGATTGTGTGATATTTTCTATTAAGAATATGTGATTTCTGGTCAGTTAGCTCTGAAGAATCAGCCACCAGTATCATTAAAGCAAAATCTGGAAAGTGTTTTTTAGGGCTGATCACCAGAAGCTGTGGTCCAGGGGCAAAGGGTGCATCTAAAGTTTGTAGCCAACATTCATATGTGTAAGAATCTCTCCTCAAAAATTAAAACTGGTTTTGAAGGCATGAAGGGATCATGGAAAGACGCTGAGGCTTTAATGATACTTGTTCCTCTGGAACAACAAAAAGAAGGTAGTTTCAGAAAATGTTGTTACTAAAGAAACAGTGGTTAGTATTTGTTAATTTAGCTAACAAAATTAAAGTGAAATTTCTTTGGCTCTTTTGGTGACTTCAAACAAAATGGCTCTCATAGGCTCACAGTGAGTGGCACTATTGATAAGAATTAGGGAATGTGGCATGTTGCCTTGTTGAGGTAGGTGTGGGCATTAGGGTTCCAGAAGTTCAAGTCAGGCCCAGTTCTCTCTCTCTCTACACACACACACACACACACACACACACACACACACACACACTTCACACACTTACTTATCGTGGTAAAGGATTGTTATATGAAGGGAATGACACTAACCTGCACTAACCTGAGAATACAGCAGAAAATGTTCTGTTGTTTTGTTCTAGTTTGCTTCTCTGTTACTGCGATAAATCACTCTAAACAAAATCAAGCTGGGAAAGTAAAGTGTTTGTTTGTTTTACAATTCAGTTCAAATTTTATCAGTGAGGAAATAAGGACAGGAACCGATATAGAAGCAATTGGGGTTGCACTGATTAATGGCTTACTCCTCCTCTCTTATACTCAGCTAGTTTTCTTATACAACCTAGGATCACTGGAACAGGTTTACTACCACCTACAGACTCCATCACCAACTGGCATCAGAACTTGGCAATACTATCCACATGATGCAAATTTTGAAGGGATGAGAGATGCATAAACCTAGAGCTTTGCAGTGACCATGGCTCCAGAGAATCACTAAGGCATGAAAATGCATGAAAAAACCGAAGTCACTACAAGGGGTCCCTTAAATTCCTCTTCATGAGGCTGTGGAAATGAAGAGTAAGTTAAAATGGAGATACCAAGATATTGGAGATGCTATTAACATGAATATCTTCTAAAGAAAGCTGCAATCATGAAGTGGAAGCAGCCAAAGAGACAGGCTATGTTTGCTGCAGAAAGAAGGGTCAGAGAGGTAGGGCATCTCAAATATAAGCCACAAATATCAGACATAGAGCTACAGGATCTGGTTTCTGTCCTGTTTGGTTTTAGACTTGCTTTGGTCAGATCATTCCTTAATATGTCCCTATTTTCCCTTTTGGAATATGAATGTTCAATCTATGTCATTGTATGTTGTACCTATATATTTGGTCCTAATAGGGTTTCACATTTATGAGATTTTACAAGAGTATCAGAACAGACTTGTATTTATACTTTTAAACAATGGAGGAACTGTTAGAATACAGGAACTTTTGAAGATGGATTGAATGCATTTTGCATGTGATATTGCCATGAGGCTATGGAGATAAAGGATCAATCAAAGGTTACAAATTCAAAGTCATATGCTTGGGTACCAATTTGACCTAGTAGTCTTGTGCTTATGATGGTTTGTTTGTTTGATGAGATTTAGACTCACCATGAAAACAAAGCATTGTATGTTTCTTTTATGGGCAATCTATATCAGTTTAATTATGAAGAAAATTCCTACCCTACATGTGGATAGCACCATTCCATGGAATGGGGTTCTGAACTCATTATTTTAAAACAGAGAGAATATGACCATACAACACTCATTTCTTCTTGATCAGATGCAAGGTGTGTTCTCTTCCTCCTGCCTCCATGACTTTCCCACAGTGATGAACTATATACTAGTACTGTGATACAAAACAAACCTTTCCTTCCTTCTATCACTTTTGTCAATCCCCAGCAACAGGAAAAGTAACTTAAATATATGATGAAAATTTAAGTCAGAAAACAAAAATCACATCCTTAAGTTTCTTTAAAAATTATCTTGTACTACACAAAGGGATCAAGAGAGGCAATGCAAACTATCAAATCTCAATGACATATTTTTTTTCAGAAATACAAATAATACTAACATTTCCATAGAACAGAAAAGACTATAAACCAAAAAATAATCCTATGTAACATTGGCAGAGCTTGGTGCCTCACACTTTACCAGTTCAAGACTAATACAAAACAAATGTATTCAAAGGAGTGTGGGATTGAAAGTAAAGACGTCAAAAAGAAAACTATGTATATACTGTTATATGTATAGCTCTGTTTGTTTTCATATTAGGCTTTCTCTTGGTAGGTCCAAAACTTTATGTGCTATGTAGGCTGCTTTCAAGCTCTTGATCACCCTTTTCATCTGTGTGCTGGGATCACAGTTGTGTTCCATAACTCCCCTCTCTAGTAATCTTTGAAAAGAATATGTAGAATTAAAAACAGAGAAAGAAAAATGTCTCCAGTAAATGGTGGTTTTAGAAAAATCACTATTCTAATGCAACAGAATCAAATTGGGTCAGTGTGTTATATGACCACAAAATGAAATCACCATATGTTAAAAATTTAAACATAGAACCCATAATTGTACAACCTCTAAATCAAACCTAACAAACTTGTCATTTGAAAATAATTTTTATTTCAAAATATGTGTTTGGGTATGGCACATGCACATAAGTGAAAATGCTAGAAAAAAAACAGAAGGTGTTACATGTCATAGAACTGTAGATACATGCAGTTTTTAGCCTACTGATAAAATATCTGGGAAGCAAATTTGGGGCTTCAGCAAGACCAATACAAGCTCTTAACCACTGAGCAATCTCTTCATTTCCCCTCCATAATAAAAATCTTATTTTTTAACTAGTCGATGATTTTTGGACATAACCCAAAAAATATAGAGAGCAAAAGCAGCTCTAGATAAAGACTAAACCAGGCTTTAAACCACTATGACCTTGTACTCACATATGTTGATAAGGTCATTATCAAACAGAAAAAAATATAGTTAAGTGTTGATGAAGATTAGGAGAAATCAATCTCTGTGTACCCCTGCTATGATTACAAAACAGTGATAAATGTGTGGGAAATATTGGGACTCTTCTTCAAAAATTCAACATAGAGCTACCATATGATCTGACAATTTTACTCCTGGGCACTTGTCCAAAAGAATTGAAATCAGTTTCTCTTTAAAAAATAAAAAACAGACTTGAATTATCATATTCATGCAGCATTATTCATAATAGCTAAAAGGTGGACACAAACTAAGGGTCCATTGATCCTAGGAAAAATAATGAACATGTGTTACATACAAAGTGTACTATTATTTAGTCCTAAAAGGAAATCCTGTCAAATGCTACAACATGAGTAAACCTGGAGGTCATTATGCTAAGTAAAGTAGCCCAGTTAGAGAAAAACAAATATTGCATGAATCCATTTAAATAAGATACCTAAATAGCCATACTCAGTGAAACAGAAAGCAGGGTAGTGGTTTCTAGGGACTGTCAGACAAGAGAAATGGTAAGTTGTTGTTCAGTGAGAATAAACACTCAGCTCCATGTGATGTAAAACTTCTGGAGTTGTGATATATAACATTATGCTTACAATTAACAATAATGTAGTGTGTGCTTCAAATATTTAGTCGGTAAATCTTAAATATTTTCACATGTGTCTGTAGGTAAATGCCAATGCATGTATGCGCATATATTCATGATAATGCAAAGCTGCCTAGATGTCTAGGCAAAGTACAAGATGTTGAATATCTTTCCAAATCACTCTCCAATCAATTTGTTGAGAGTCTCACTGAATTCAGAATTAAACAATCCCAGCTAGTCTTATAAGCCAGGTTGTCCCTGTCTCTATTATCAAAGTTCTAGGATTACAGGCACTCGTCATGCATGCTCAGGTTTTTATGTGTATTCCAGTGATCCAAATTCAAGTATTTGTCCCTGCAAGGCAGGATGTGTTTCCACCAATCCATTTCCTCTGCCCTTCTGAATTTCATTTTAAAACATATTTTAAACATTTGTTGTTGTGAGAATGCTCTATGATACATTTGATCATATGATTTCCCCTCTCCCATCTCTTCACAGATCCTCGCCCATCTCCATACCCAGCTAACTTCATGTTCTTTTTCTTAACAATAACAGCAAAACAAAATCCTTTAACCACATTTTTAAAATTGTTCATAACACCATTGCACATGTTTCTATTTTGTTATTTGTT